CCTAAACGAATCTTGATGATAAACACACAAAGAAAAAATGTTTGTCATTACGCAAAAACAACAAGACTCACAATTTGGTCAACACCCCCAAAGGTTTCCAAACCGAATACTTTCTAAAATCCTCCCCAGCAAACTCAATCGAATACCGCGTCCGTTTCCCATTTCTAAACTCTTCTGGCAGGACTTGAGTTTGGAAACAAGATGACTTGTGTGTATGCATCGGCGAGAGTTCCTCTTGAACTTCTTCCTCAATAGCCGAAAAGAGAAACGTAGAAGCAACATGATCGCATTCCTTTCGTTCTAGACTGGTAATGACAGTTTGTAAGTAAATGAGGCTTGGGTTTTAACAGTCATGGTAATTCAATACGCTACTCAGATCGGAGGTCAATGACGGTTTTAATGTTGTACCGGGATTGCAGGACCTTGACGTCCTCGGAGGTTGCATCGTCTGCCAGAATCTTTGTCAGTTTTCTTCATCCCATGCATCTTTTCATATGAATGTGCATGTGCACGCACCTAACCGTGCAGAGCGATACAAATTCCCTTCTCTTAACGCAGTGGATTCCTCACGGCTGCATGGTAGAAGAAAGTTTTAGTACCCGATGCATTAGGACGGATACCTAAAACTACAAACCCATCCGCATCGACGTTGTAATTCCGTCCAACGTCTCTAAAATTCGCAACGTTTTCCAACCCGGATTGGTCCAAAGGTGGGTGTGTGATATCGATCGAGGACGTTTCCAAAGTTTCTTGTAGTGAAGTTGAAGATGTGGTTGTCATGCTGAGTTTACTTTGTAAAGTGTATTTGTATGAGGATCTGAAGTGAAATAGTGTGTGTGAAGGGAGGATGCGCCGCAAAGGCCTTGTGAGATGGGTTAACATGTGGCAAGCCAACATCTTGGTGCTGGCACCCCAACGTTACATCATCATTAACAAAACGCCAGCGCGTAAGCAAGTTTCGATCAACCTTTCTACCTTTAAGATTTCAACCATTATGAATAAACAAAATCCTCACAAACAAAAAAAAACCTAATTTAATAAAACATAAAACTTATACACAAACTTGGATTTACATATATATATACAGTTCCTTCTCAAATCAAGTTTACAAGATAAGGCATGAGGACTGCGAATCATTGGGGGGAGGCACAATCTCACCAAACATGGTCTGAAGATCTTCGGCAGCCCGTTCCCGTCCACTATCTATAGCTTTACGTTTAACTTCTTTTGGAAAATACAGTTTAATCATATTCATACGCGCAACATCTACAAAACCATCCATCGTATGAGCCATCAAAAATTCATTAAACTTGTCGTCATTCACATAAACGTACCCAATTGCTCTGCCGTCGCTTTTTCCACAGCGTCGACATGTCTGCACACGGGGCAGTTCTTGACATTGCGTACTTGGGCCTTTACCAGACACCGGACGCAAAACACATGACCGCAGACCAGGCGGATGGGTTTCCAATAAACGTCTTGACAAATGGGACAAGAGTAATCTTCTGGTTGCGGAATAACTGTGACGAGCCTCTCCTAATTGTGAACATGTAAGTCTCAAAGTCCATAACCAAAAACTACAGATTTACCACAAACCTGAATGGTGAAGACAATCGCTCTAGCAATATTATCTACAAAAAAAGACTGCTCTTCCAAAAATCTTGCAAACCCTGTGCTGGCCGTCAACCTTGTTCGTTTATCGTGCTTTTTCAAAATCTTTCGAACAGCGGTGTGATTAATCTCATCAAATTGCTTCATGGCCAGCATTTCGCGATTCATTCGCAAGAACACATTTAACGCCGCTGTAGATGATGACGACTTTAGTGTCATTTGAAGGGATCCTCGTGCGGTACGTTCAAAAGCAGCCAGCTGCTCTCGAGAGGACATGACCGGTCGGTCCTTGATTCCATTGATAAGCCAAATTTCTGACTCGAGGTACGCGGCAAGGACCTTTCGCCATGCATACATGTCCTTGTTATACGGGGAGGCCGCAGTGGACAGGTAATCGGAGAGGGTATCAAGGTTGGATTGAAACGTCGTCTTGAGTGAGTCTTCAAACTGCGCGATGGAGTTGACAGCCGTAGCGAGTTCATGAAAGAATTGGTGGTCTGTCTTCAAGAACAGTTTGACACTACCGCTTTCATCTGGCGGTGTACCCGGGGACAGCATTGTTTCCTCCAGGCTGGTAAACATGTCTGTATTGACGGTCAGTCGCTGTCGCGCGGAGGGTATATCAAGTGTCGGTGTTGGCGGCGACGAGTCATTACGACTAATACTCCCCCTCCTTGCTACAGACGGCGCAAAAGGAACCGGTATGGGTTCCGAGGGAGCTGGTACAGCCTTCCTGTCCTCTACTGGGCTGTCCTCCACAGGACTCTCACCCCCAGACGTCTGGAAAAACTCATTCAAATTCTTCATGGATCTCGAGGTAATTTTTATCCGCAATGACCCAGACCCACAGGGCGCCCCTGGCCCCACTTCAATCGCCAACCCCTCGTCCTCATCCTTGACCTGCAATAATGGGAAGGGGTCCACCTTGTTGTATTGACATGGTGGCAAATCAGTCTCGGGTACTTTGACTGGCTGCATCTCATCTTGGAGATTGACGACAATAAAAGGCTCGAGGTTCCCTGTTGAATCACAGATATACTGTTTTAAAACACGCAAACCTCCCATGGACACCTGGATGCTTCTCTCATACCTTCAAGAAAATAGTCGATCGTACAATGTCGCATTCCACTGGACCTCGGCGCATCATGCACGACAATCCCTTTTTCCTCCAATTCTGTCAACCATATCGAAAATAAGCAAAAAAAAAACCACAACCAAAAAACCTTACAGCTCGAGGACAACACTACCTTGAACAATTCTTCGGATATTCTTCTTCAATGCCTTGTACTGAAACGCAGGCCATGACGGCGGAAGATCCCTATAGGCCTCTGTATACTGTTTGGCAAACTTCATCTTGCCATGCGCATGTTCAAAAGACAAGGAAGAAGAAAACGAGGGGAAACACTTTCTGGAAATAAACCCAGACACGCACACAACGCTTAAACGTGACTTGATCACGCAATTTACCCTAAACGGGTGTTATCAACTTATGTCTACAAATGAATTTCATTTGCAAAAACGTAACGACATAGTCAGGTGACAAGTAAGAGGGCGGATAAGAAGGACACGATGACAAGCTTGCAAGGGAAATCACACACAGATGTCCCAACCTCGCAAAGTAGATCCATCTCTTGTATGCGACTCAAAGGAGCTACAGGAATGTCTACAAAAACATAACGGTACATACGCTAATGTTCTTGTATACGCAAATTCATACTCTGACCAACAAACATAGGAGATCGATCGAAATGCAGTAGAGAATGGGAAGCGTTCAAGCAAGCTTGCGCGGAAAAAAAGTGGGCAGCCTGTATACTTCTGTAATTGGCATAAAATGGTGAAGTCCCTTCGTTTATACTTTTTCTTTGCATCCATAGAATGGCGATACAGAACGGAAAATGAGCAAGAAACTCTTTTGAACAAGCTAGTCAGTACCACAGACGAAACATATTCCAGTTGGGACCACCACACCACACATGAAAACTCCCAACCACTCTTATAAAAGATGCAAACCAAGTCTATATTTAAACACATCCATGCCTACTACACGATGATACCATTGGACGGTTTTCAACAAAACCCATTTGATAGCCTCTTCTTCTTACCGCCATTGCTGATTCCCACTCCCGTACCCTCCATCCGGTTGAGGAAACTGAGGAGTAGATCCCTCGTAACCTGCGCCAGGGTATCCACCTTGTTCCGGTTGGGGAAAGGTCTGAACCGGTGGTTGAGCACTGTAGCCTTGAGGTTGGGCGTAAGGCGTTCCGTATCCAGTGGGTTGGGCGCCGTAGCCACTGCTGGGAGGATGGCCGTATCCAGATGGCTGCGGGGGTTGGGCACCGTAGCCAGATGAAGGAGGTGCATTTCCATAACCGGGTGGTTGGACCGTCTGATCGCCATAGCCAGAACCAGGAGGGTGTCCGTAGCCCGATGATGGAGCTGCCTGGTTTCCATAGCCGGATGGCTGGACCGTCTGATTGCCATAACCAGAGCTAGGAGGATGTCCGTAGCCGGATGACGGAGGTGCCTGGTTTCCGTAGCCGGATGGTTGGACCGTCTGATTGCCATAGCCAGAGCTAGGAGGATGTCCGTAGCCAGAAGACGGAGCTCCCTGATTTCCATAACCGGATGGTTGGACGGTCTGATTGCCATAGCCAGAGCTAGGAGGGTGCCCATACCCAGAGGGCGAGGGACCCTGCTGTCCATACGCTCCCGAAGACTGTCCATAAGTCGCCTGCGCTTGTGGCTGAGGGGGTGGAATATACCCACCACCACAACCTCGCCCAGCCGTCTCAGGATGCCTCCTATTCCGTCCAGCCATAACACTAGCTTTATCCAATTGTCCCAAAATGCTTCGATTCTCATCAGCCCATTTGCGAACCACGTCCAACATTTGAGTTTGCAACGGGGTTTTGGCGAACCCTAAATTAGCAGGGTGAACAAAGACTTGCATGGCGAGGTTGATGGCTTCGGACGTGGCAGAGGCGTCAGAGGTTGACCAGGCCTTGACGACAGCTTTGACAATGTGTTCAACAATGACTTTGGCGACGAGTCCTGCAGGCTAATAGAAAAGTCAATAAACATTCAAAATTCCATTTTTTGCAAACATATGCAACAATCTGCACCTCATTCAAGAATAAATCAAAATGATCCTTGGATAAGAGCGAATGGGTTGGATCCGAGCAATGGGGGTTGGTAAAGATTTCTCGCTGGGAATCTGCGTTGACGATTTCTGCGGACGTGTTTTGGAGTTTACCAACGACTTGCTGCATGATGGGTTTCATATACGGCTATTATAAAAAAAAAACGAAAAATTAAAAAAAGAAAACACTGGCCATACACATAAAAAAATAAAAATAAAATAAAAAACGGACCTCAAGCTGCGTCAAAACAAACACTTGAACCGTCTCGGAAATCTTTTCCGAAAGCCAGCTCAAACCAGGAATTTTTTCAATCGTCATTTCAACGCCCTTGACGATCCGATCACGCAACTCCAAAATCTTCCATACGCTTGCCTTCATTTCTGCGGGGTCGGTGCTCACGGGCGCGCGTTCAACGTCACGGACCTGACGCGTCACGTCTTCCATACCCGGGACCTTGGATAACAGATCCGGAAGGGAGTTGTCATCAAAAGACCGTTTAGCAGCCTCCATTTCGCTGTTGAGCGAGGAAATCGAAGCAGCGGAGACGTGATCCGTGGCTTCGCCCAACAAGGAATGAACAAAATCGGCTCCACCAAACGTTCCAGTCACAATGGGATAAATAGGACGATTCCTCCCCGTACGTGAATCCACTCCCTGCCGAAACGCAGTAGCTTCACCAACAAACGGAAACACAGAATCATACCCAAGTTCAATCAAGGCAAGCTCAACAAAGTTACTATGAGCTGGGTAATCTTCCAAAGTATGCAACGCGGTACCCAAGAGTCTAAACCCCTCATACTCGTTTCCAGAGCGGTAAGCTTGAATCGCACGTTCGAGTGTCGCACGGACAAAAGCAGAGGAAGTAGGCCACCCACCCCCTTCATTTGCGATATAGTTTTTTAACCCTGTTCGTGGGTCAATCTCCAGTTCACGCGGGTCAACCGGTCCACGAAGTCCTGGGTCGTATTTCCGTGCATCTTGACCATCAGCGTATCCTTTTGGGTTATCAATGTGTTCTTCGGCACGGTAACATCCTAACCGATCTTCGGTGACTTCGAATTCGGCGGTGGCGTATCCAAAGGCTAGAAACCCGAGGATGGAAACGAGGGTCACCAAGGTGGTTTTGTTGAGGCCTTTTGAGAGTGTGCCGACGTCAATGGCTTGAGAGTAATCTCGTAACCAATTCCCTAACGAAAAGAAAAAAGTAAGAGTTTCGTTCTTGTAAGAATGCACAATAATTGTTTTGTGTTTTTGTGTAATTACCGAAATAAACCCTCTTCACATCCAACCCCCCAAACTTTTTACTCAAAAGCGAAATAGCACCCTGCGATAACACCAGCGACGCAATCACATCTTCAATATCACCATGTCGAAACGCCTTGCCCTCCACAAACGCAATGGACGGAATATTGCCTGCACCGAACGCAGAGACGGTCGGGAGGGTCACCAAAGCGATGAGAAGGAGTAAGAGTGCTGTCGGGGTGTGCATCGTCGGGGTTTTAATGTGTGTGTATCGCAGAAAAATGAGCGGGGAGTTGTAGCGCGGGTACTCTGCGTTCCCCCCCTCCCCGGCCCTTCACACATGGGTATGAGTCATGATTCGTAAGCACGATCACCCACGTTCCAAACGCCCCGATAACCAGGACTACCCGATCTCGCACTCCACCACACACAGCAAACAAACAAGAAATGAATCGCCGTAGCGCTCGTATTGCCTCCCGTACGACACCGTACCCCCCCACCAAACCCGTCAAAGCACCACCACCAGCACTCATCGCGTCCAAACCAGAATCAACCCCCGCGATATCCGCCCCGATATCCGCGGCACTCGTAGGCCAAACCGTCGATACTCCATTCAAACCTTTTTCGTCAGTCCTTTTAGATGAATCGGGTACAGAGGTAAGAATATTTGCATACTGCGTTTAAGCATGGATGTTGATATACTAGTAGGTGGATATCGGGTCTGAAATTGCGTCCACGGGAGTAGTGTTTTTTGTGTATCCTCGTGCGAATACGCCTGGTATGGTTGTTCAGCGTTGCAAGTGTATGGTATCTAGAGCTTTTTGGTAATGAGGAATTTGGGAGTAGGATGTACGAAGCAAGCTACTGGGTTTCGTGATCACTATCAAGAGGTAAGTCGTGAATCGTTTTAGTTTTTTTCGGGGTCGTGAATGTGTGGGTTGATGATAGTGTTTTTGCGGTAGATCAAGGAAAAAGGATACAAAGTCTTTGGGATAAGCGGAGACTCTGTATCCGCTCTCCAAAAATGGAAGACAAAAGTATGAAATTCCCCATTCTTCTTTTTTATAACAACATTCACTCACTTTTTCATTAGTTGGAATTACCCTACCAACTCCTTTCAGACCCTTCATTAGCCTTTATATCCCATTTAGGTACGTATATCCATCATAATTATATACATGTTACTAACGGTATGATTAGGATGTTCTAAACCGTCCAAGAAAATCGTGCGATCTCATGTTGTTGTTGAGAAGGGGGGACGGGTTCGACAGGTTTGTGTGGGCGTCTCGCCTGTTGAGAGTTTTGAAAAGGTTTTAAAGGTTTTGTGATTTGGGTTGGAGGTTTTCGTGATCGGTTTTTTAGTGTTGAGATCTCTTTTTTGTTTTTTTTTTTTTGTTGGATTTTTGGATTTGCGTATATGCTGGCAAGCATCTGGAATGTTTTAACGCAAATAAACAGAATGTTTTAACGCAAAATAAACAAGTACCTAATCTGTCTATACGATATCAGACATTTTCAGTTATTTAAAAAACGGCTTTTTAAAAATACACCAACCAAAAATGCCTTGTTTAAAGCGATTTATCATTGGACCACGAGCAGTTGCCGTTATGCTTTTGAGTCTCGGTTTTCCCGCAACACACTAGAGTCGACCGGAAAGAACATGGGGGATTGAGATACCATTGTTAGTTTTCTCAAGTCAAGAAAACCATCATGTATGTCAAAGCCAAAATGTCTGCTTGCACACAAAACTTGTTAAAGGTTGCATCTCCTTCATAAAATACACGTGAAAAACAACGGACCCCGACAACAAAAAACCATAAATTCAAAACTTGTTCCTGTTGAGCAAGCATTCCACTTCCCCAGTCATTGTACACAAGCAAAAAACAAAAGTCTCACTCACGTAATTCTCATACCGATACTCGATACGCCAAATATAAGGCTTGGTAGAAAATGCATGATATGGTATTGTTCTATCTCACAGTGTATCAGAAAAAAGTCTCCCAACCCACAAACTCTAAAAAAAAAACCTTCCATCCTTCAACAAAAGAATCAAAAAAAAACCAAAGAAATGGCAAAATCTAAACTCCTAGTCTAAAAGTTCTACAAAACAACAACTAGAAAAAAAACCATAGAAAGATACTACAACCTTACAAATCCGTGTAAATACTCTGTACATTTCTATTCTGTCCCAGATAGCCTTGCTGTTGTTGTGGGAGGGTAGGAAGAGATGGAGACGAGGGAGGGGCAGGTGGGACGATTTGGGGACGAAAGCCGCGTCCTTGGACATATTTTAAGGAAGGCTTGGGTGGTGCCATGAAACTCGGTCCCATACTAGGTCCCATATTTGGTGCCCCCGGATTCCCTCCACTCGGTCCCGGCCGTGCATACATGGGTGGCACAGGTGGTAAATTCGGTTGCACTCGTTCTGTCTGCATTCGTTGAGAAATAGACTCTTGGGCAGCCCCATACCGACTCACCAAAACCCTCGGAACACTCCCGCCAAGACAAACAACCGGAAAACAAAACGGCCCTCCAGCACGTTTACTCACGCCTTCCGCCCACCCATCCGTAAATACTCTCATCAAGACGATTCGGTCGCCAGGTACCAAATTCATTTCATCAGGTGCGGTTTTGACATGGACTTTTGCTACCGGGAATTCCTTTTTGTTGTGGTTGGCTGCAATGAATTCTTGAGCTGTTTCGACAGCGCTGGGGTCGTCTTTGGCGAGGGAGCTAGAGCGGGGGAGGGGACGGGCAAGTGTGCGGGGGAGGGAGACGTGGCCGATCGAGGAGCGGCGGCGGGACAGCGAAGGATTTGTGGTTGGAAAAGAGGTTTTTTGGCCGCATTTGCAAATAAGGAGGCAGGTGATGAAGAGGAGAGTTGAGCCGACTATGGCGGCTAGGGCGTACCAGATGGCATTATCGGCCGTGTCGAGTTGGATGGGGTCGGGGAGGATACGGTTATCCGGGCCGCCGATTTGCGGCAAGTCGCGTTGAGTGAGACGAGTCCTGATGCTGTGGACTGGCATCTCTTCAACTTGCTCTTCTACTTGGGCCGTTCGACTCGTTAGTGTACGCCCTACACACGGAACGAGAAATCATTACACCCGATATTGACATTATCAAATCACTCCAAATACATACCCATTCGCTTGACCAGCACGCCCGACCCCCTCACATCGACATCCACATCGACATCCACGTCATAGTTAACATCCCGCACGTACCGACTCGAATGAGAATCCATCACGTCCCGCATGACAGAAACCGTTCCAAAAAGCCCACTCTGGCCCTTCACCGATCTGGTGATCAATAAAACAGTCAACCTCTTTTCCAAAAACTCCACACACACACAACAAGCAGAATACATACAATCTCACCAAACCATCCAAAACCCCATTAAACTCCCCTCGAACATGCACAATCTCTCGATCCCACCTACTACGAAAACAACAAACACACATTAAAATCACGTTTATAAACCAATACAAAAAAACTGCAACTTACATGCTTGTGACTCTATTTGTATTGCACTCTACACCTACTATCCCACAACACCCTACAGGAGCCGTTGAAGTGAATGAGAGGGATGCTGTGAGAGATGTGAGGTGTGTGCAGGTGAGTGTGTGTGCGGTTGGGAGGAGGAGTAAAAGAAGGATATGGGGGAACATTGGGGAAAGGAGGAAGGATGGAGAAGGATGGGTAATTGGGTGTGTGTAGGTGGGAAAAACCCTCCGTCAAAGAGTGTTGAAACTCAAAATTTAATTTTTGCCATATCTTCCTTGCGGCCCTTTTTTCCCACGCAGCCCGTGATATAAATCACGTGGTAAGCAACTGGGGAAAATATCACACTTTTGAAGCATTGCTTCATTTAGCAGATGCATACAATATCGACAACTTCACACATATGCTTGATACTCCTTTTCAAAATATACAATATACAAAATAACAAGGAATGAAAAAGAACAGACACACACACACACGCAACATACGCAACTCAATAACAACACACACACATACAGAAAAAAAAAGAAAAACAACATGCTAATATGCAAAAAAAACATTCATGCTAACCAAAACAAAACAAACCTCAAATGCATCACATCATCCCACCCAACCGCTGCACACCAAAAAAAAAGGTTTTCACGTAGCATACCCATACTCATACGCCGGATATTTTTCATAATAATACCCACCCTCCTCCTCATCCTCCCGCTTTGTCCTTCTCCGCGCTGGTTTCTTTGGCTTTGTCGCGCGCTTGCGTTTCAGAGGAAGGGGCATGGTGGGGTAGGGCGAGGGTGTCATGGCAAACGGGGAATAGTATGCGCTCACGTGTTGTTGTTGTGGTTGTTGGGCATGCTGATGTTGGGCTTGGGACGGGGATGGTGCTAGCGCTTGCGATGGTTGTTGGGGGTGATGGTGAGGGTGGTGATGGGGATCGTGGGGATGGGGGTAGGACATCCATGGATCGGGTAAACGGCGCGGCGTATCCATAGAACGCTGGACAAAGGCGTATTCAGAAGGAAAGCGGCGAAAGCGCTCAATTTCACGACGGGCTTGGGCCATAATGTCTAATAATTCTTGGTCAGACATACCACCGCTGCCGCCGCCATTACCAGGAGTAGCAGCAGCACCAGTCTTGTGATCGGTAGACCATTTAGAGTCCTTGTATATGGGCATGCCATTGGCGTCAGTGTGTTTGCGGTCGGCAGAAGAAGAGGTCGGGGACGAAATGGGGCTGGGAAGGGGTTGGCCGGATTCACCGCTAGGTGTGGATGCCGAGGCGGGCAAAGGGACATTATTATGCCAATGGGTTGCCTCCATGGAGGAATCCGCAACGGGTTTCTTTTCTTCTTCCAACGCGCGAGAGGACACGACCATGCTGGGTTGGTTGCCCGAAAAGTCCAATCGCTGCAGCGAGGTACGCCGCGAGCCACGATTCTGTGATGGTTGTTGTTGCTGTTGCTGCTGCTGCTGCTGCATGCCGCCCGCCAACGAGGCCAAACTCGCTGCGGCCGCTTCTTCATCATCTGTCAAAATCCCTCGCGAGCCTTCGTCATACTCTTTGACACGAGCAATGCGCGAGGCCTTTGCACTTGGGACGGCATGGCGCTGCCTTCCCTCCTTTTCGGCATGTTCCTTTGCCAAGAGTTCTTTTGCGGCACGCTGTCTGGCGCGAACGGCAGCGGCTTCAGTCGTGAGCGCCTTTGCGGCATTCCAGGCCTCAACGACAGTGGGATGCTTTCGGACGCTGTCCCATTCCCAGCCATTTTCATTGTGCAGCTTGCGCATCGAGTGCAAGTACCAATTCAAGGACGAGAATTGAATTTCACCTCTGCGCATGCGTTCTGCTTGGAGGCCAATGTACTGGGACAAGGAAGAGGCCGAGACGGGAAAGGGGTTTCCATCCTTGTTGACGAGGCCGTGTTCGACGAGAACAGAGTGAGTTGTACGCAAATTTTGAGCGAGGCCCTTGCGCGAGTTTTCGTTTGCTTCCGTTTGTGGTTGACCTGGAGGAGGCGAGTCTTTTAATAATGCAGCGACGGGATGATTTTTTGCCCTGCGCGGCCTTCCACGGGGCCGCTTCAGGTCTGCAATAGCTTGGAGGGTGGCATGGTCTGGAATGGTGTCGTCGTGGAGAGAGGAAGAGGAAGTGGAGGAGACTGACTGGGCAGGTGAACGAGAGCGAGACCGAGAGCGCGAGCGAGACGTTGAGCCACTACTCGACGTGCACGTACTGCAAGTCGATTCCGTTGACCTAGAATAGTTGTGAGTCTTATATATATGCGACATGTAGTTGCGAGTTGAAAAAAGACATACGCGTTACTCTCTACATCCTCTCTGTCCTCTTTCTTGTCCTCGTCGTCGTCCTGTTGTTGTTGTTGTGCTTGTCCCTCTTTTGCATGAGTAGCTGTAAGGCTAATGAGAGGAGTACTAGCACTAGTAGTACTAGTAGCAGTAGTAGTAGGAGTAGGAGTAGCAGGAGTAGCAGGAAGAATCGTCATGCTTGTCATTAGCTAGTGGTGAAATGAAGGTAAAATGCAAGAACCGTAATGAACACCCCTCCCAAAAATAACGAAAAGAAAAAGAAATACTAAGCAACAAATGAGATAATGTGATAAAAATGATGCAGAAAAAGAAAATAAAAGTAGTAATATGAATATAGTAAATATGCATTGGAATGTGGATAATGGCATGTGATCTCATCAATAATAATAATAATAATAATAAGGGGCGTTAGAAAGTGTAAGAGATGGGAATTGCATGGAGAATGACAGGGAGATTGACGAGAATAGAGTATGTGTAGGGAGGGAGTGAGTGTGAAATGGGAAGAATGCTCTCTCCTATGGGAAGGGAATAATCATACGATATTGGAGATGACAGATGTGAGATATTTCACACTTCAAAGTTTGAATGGAATTTGGCGAGAGTAGTCAATGGGATATTCCTATTTTTATTACTAGCAGATTGTAGACAACATACGCCCATTCTCTCCACCACATCCCATTTATAGATTTTCATTACATGCATAATACACATGGGCATATGCATATATAAATATGGATACACATCCACACATGCACACTACACATGGGCATATGCAGAGTCACACACTCCTAGTATCGCAAACACTTTCCAAACAAGTATCATCTCACATCCATTCACACATCCCATCCATCCACTCACACAGAGTCATGCAAATTCCGAGCAAGTCATTCCAGTCCGCAAGGGCGCATTTCTCATCCAAACTGTTTGGAATGTATTGCGTGAAAAGACAAAGAAAATTAAAACCACGTCTGGTTACAGGTTCCATCCCACTTTCTACAATAAATGTGGATGAACCGGCATCTTATGCTTATTTTTTGCACACATTGCCTTGTTCTTGTTTTGCAGCTGCTTTGGGTTTCTGAGCATTTTGGGCAATTTGGTTTGGTGTTTTTCGTTTTTTTTTGAAGACAGTTTGTTACTGGACAAGCACCAACGCACACATCACACACACATACGCATATACATAGATCCATTGACACCCAGATACACACGTCTCCACCTTGACGCTCTCATGTCACTCTACCTACGCTACGCCACACAAACTTGGTCTTATCACGAGTCACGCAAATATTCTTCTGCTCGCATCAGCAGCACGCATCACCGCACCCTCGAATCATCACACATGGGACATCAAAACAGGTGTCCCCGTCTCGTCATGGAACGACCCAGACTGCAAGTCTCAAGTCACTTGTTTATGCGCCAGTCCAGAGGGGTTTGTAGCGGCTGGGTACGCCGACGGGAGTATACGCATTTGGGATGGGGACCATGTCAAGATCTTGTTCAATGGCCATCGAGGCGCTGTCACGGCGTTGGGGTTTGATCCGTTGGGTGCGAGGTTGGCATCGGGATCTGCAGACACGGATCTGATCGTTTGGGACGTGGTGGCAGAGTGCGGGCTCGCCAGGTTCAGAGGACACAAGGATCAAATCACGGGACTCTCGTTTTTGACACGGAATGGGTTGGATCATATCGTATCCTGTTCCAAGGACTCGTTGATTAAATTTTGGGATATCGGCACAAAGCATTGTGTAGAGACCGTTATTGGACATCGAGGAGAGGTGTGGGCTTTGGATGTGGGACAGGATGAACGCATGTTGCTCACTGGAGCTGCGGATGGGGAGGTCCGCGTCTGGACGATTGATCCTGACGCCCTCTCACAAAAGCTGGAGCCGGGAGTCGTGGCGGGCGGTTGGGACGAGAGTACAGAACCAGATGCGGCAAAGCGGGCCGTAACCAGTCGAGGCGTGCTCGAGCGACAGAGCAAGGAACGCGTAGTGACCCTCAAGGTGCACCCCAATGGGCGGTACATTGCCGCACAGGGAGCCGATCGATTAGTGCAAGTCTATCGCATCAGGACACTAGATGAAATCAAGAAAAAGCTGGCAAGGTTGAAAAAGCGCAAGGAAAAGAAAAACAAGGGCGAGCAAGAGGAATCGGAACCTGTCTTGACGGTTGCGGATGAAATCCCCTGTATCGGAAACGTTCGCTGCTCAGCAAAGATCCGATCCTTTGATTTCTCGCTCAAATCTCAAGACCAACAAGACACGCTCACACTTCTCTGCGCTCTCGCCAACAATAGTATTCAAGTTCACGTCCTTGAACCCTCCAACAAGGAGCAACCCACCCGTCTCATTACGGGGATCGACATGCCAGGCCACCGCACCGACGTCCGCTGCTTAGCACTCAGTCCCGACAACCAAATGCTCGCCAGCGGTTCATCAGAATCCATCAAAATCTGGAATGTTCATTCGGGTCAATGTGTTAAAACCCTGGAGTCAGGCTATGCCCTCTGCTGCGAGTTTATTGGACCCAATTTGGTGGTTGTGGGTACCAAATCCGGCCAACTCCACTTGTTTGACCTTGCGCGAGGGTTACTCGAGACGATCGAAGCCCACGAGGGACCGGTTTGGTCGTTACAGGTCTGGCCAGATCGCAAGGGCGTCACGACGGGATCCCAAGACAAGGAGATCAAATTTTGGGAATGTGGCATGGTAGTTCAAGACGGCGTACGTCGAGCCGCTCTTGTTCATACTCGGACGTTACGCATGTCAGACAATGTCCTCTGCATCCGATACTCTCCCGACGGCAAGCTCTTGGCTATTGCCCTCCTCGACTCTACCGTCAAAGTCCTCTACGCCGATACCCTCAAATTCTTTCTCTCCCTCTACGGCCACAAACTCCCAGTCATGTCCATGGACATTTCCTCTGACAATTTCCTCATCATCACGGCATCCTCTGACAAGACCATTAAAATTTGGGGCCTTGATTTCGGCGACTGTCATAAATCCCTTTTTGCCCACCAGGACGCTGTCATGTCAATCCGTTTCGTATGGGGCACCCACTACTTTTTCTCCACCTCCAAAGACAAGACCCTTAAATACTGGGACGCCGACAAATTTGAACAAATTCTCAAACTCGATGGCCACGCAGGCGAGGTGTGGGCTCTTGCTGTCTCCAAATACGGTAACCAAGTTTTTACAGGCTCCCATGACCGCTCTATACGCATTTGGGAAAAAACCGACGACCAATTCACACTCGACGAAGAACGCGAAAAAGAATTGGAGGAATTATACGATCAAACTCTTTTTGATGCACCCCAAGATGCACCCATTGGATCCGGTGTTGACCACAATGACTCCCAAACTGTGATCGACAATGACACTAGTCTCCCCACCAAACAAACACCCGTTACCCTTCAATCCACAGACAGACTCATCGCAGCCCTCGATACATTCGCGGAATCAACACGCAACAAACCCACAAAGGAAACAATAAAATCTGCAGCGTACACTGTTTACACAACCCTAAAAACCATTCGTCCAACCGACCTCGATACCATCCTCATTGTATTGAGTTTCTCACACGTGTTGGTTTTCTTAAAGGTTTTGGATACGTGGATCGAAAACGTACGTCCTTGTCCATCTTTTCTCTCTCAACTCGTCACTCACTTTTATTTTTCTTGGATTTCAGTCTTGGAACCTCCACCAAACAACCCGAATCCTAACAACCCTCCTAAAAACCCACCACCACCAACTAACATCCACAACCCCTCTAACACCCCTCCTCCTAAAAACCCGAAAAACACTCAAAACCTCTCTGCAAAGCCAGAAAAATGTCATTGGGTTTAATGTTGCCGGATTAAAGGTTTTGAGAGGGGTTCTTGGGAGTGAGATCAGTGGGTTTGGAATTGAGGAGGTGGAGAGTTTGGATGTCGGAAAAGAAAAGGAAAAGGAAAGGGAGGGTAAGAGAGGGAAACGTAAACGGGTTGTAGTGGTCAGTTGAAACCAGAGTATAAAGAAATAATGTAATTATTTATATAAGAACCATTTACTTTTCGGTTTCTTTTTTATTATTTGCTATTTACAATAGTCTTTTTATATCATGGATCATTGGGACACTTGGCATGCACACAAACCCTGTGCAAGAGTTAAACAGGTATGTGATGTGAGATGGATGTGTTGAAACCTGATACCACTCATTGACGAGAGAAAAGACGGATATTGCTATCAACTATTTTATGGGATATGGCCGTTTCACCTATATTTCGCTATTGCCCTCCGCGTAGTCCACGTTGGAAACTATAGCCAGATCTAACCCTAACCCTAACCCTATCTGGGAAACAGGTGCGTTGTGTGTAATGATACCCCAAAAGCGCGGATCACGTGAGAAAGCTTATGTAATACTCGATCATGAGGTTGCCCCCGATCGCCACCTACAAAACCATTAATGTGGCGTATGGCAATCACAATGACTGTATTGCTATGCAATGCCTTCATCATAGTTCACAAAACTTCATCACAAAATGAAGAGTAACGGAA